TATTGTACATCATATTGGGGCCTATGTGTCATAAGTCAGGGTTCCATTTAAGCAGACAGGAACTGTGGCCAGTTGCACCAACTATGCAGAAGTTCAAACATAGGCTATTTGTAATGTAAGTGTTTACAAAGCTCAGGTTTATGCATTACTAAATCACAAGTTGCACCAACTGGTTTTAACGTTGAGCTTAGTAGTTAATAAGTATTTACACCTCCTCCTAAGCAGGTGTGAGTTTTGGGGAAAACATCAGGAACCATGTAGAAAGCACAAAAAGACCAAAATCATGAGATTTTGGTTAACTAAGCTAAAACTCTTAACTCTGTATGCTGTGATTTTACATCTTCACCCACAGCTCCAACTCAGTGAGACTCAGCTGCTGCCCAAACGGCTAAACTGATCTGCTGTTGTGCGGGTTAGTCAAAAACCTTCACTGAAAAAGCTGCGTATTTGCGCAGGGAAAGATTAAAGAAAAAGCAGGCAGTGGCTATAGAAAATCAGTTTTATTCAGTTTACTTCTACACATCAATCACATCTATGCTAGATGTTTGAACCCCTTTTCACCCCATTCCCTTGAATAGGCATGCGTCATCTTGGTTTACCCTATATATATATAATATTTGAGTGTAGATGAGTGGTGCGTATGTATGGTACAAATCAGGCCAAGTTCCTGTCTCTTTGAATGAGTTTGAAAAGTTAAGGCCAAATTACTGATTTAAAACATATTTGAAAACACTGGTAAGATCTGACACATCTTGAAATGTTTGGCTCAAATAACTGGCTACTTCTAGCTACTGCACTTGTGCACAACTCCATAATCGAGGGGGCAAGCAAGTCGATTGGCTCCTTTCTCTTTAAACAGATGATATTTAGAGCTTTATGAGCTTTCACATGAATGTTTCAAGCAGTGACCTGTCTCCTCCTTTATAATGTCTCTGGTAATGTCTTCTGGGTTTGTCAAACACTAGAGGGTGCCCCCGAGCGTGTCCAAAATGAATGGCTTCATATGGAGCATTTGCGCAAAATCATAGTTTGTAAATGCTCAAACATTTTTATAAAGAAGAATACAATAAGTTCATGAACACAAAACAGCATGAAATATTTTAACACCGCTGTTATTGTTCTATTCAGTAGTCTTGTTGTGAAATCTCGGGTGGTGCATCAGTCTAGGGACGATTGGTCATGGCTCCATGAACTGTCCACTCAAATATCACTGAATCAGTTGTACTGACAGGGATGTTTGAGGTCTTTGCTGTGGCTCTGTAGTTTTTTGTTTGAGTGTTGTTTAATAAAGTTGCCTCTGAGTATATTAGAAGCTCCTTCACCCTCACCATGTTGAATGTTGAATAGTATTGTTATTGTTGTGATTTTTTTTAATTTTATTTAGTTTTTAAACATATTTGTTTATGCTTATGAATAAACACTTTTTGTTTATATGTATGAGTACATTCTGTGTGTAAATTTGTGCTTCCACTTGAAATTAAAGACCTTACAGGCTAATAAATTGTTAGATATTTCTTAGTGGACATCACAAAACTGATTGCAACTTAATCTGGACAAACTGGGATGCAGATACTCAGTACTGAATACCAGCGAAAACTGATTTTTAAATTGGGCCTTATTGCATTGTTTAAGATTAGGCCCTATTGCATCATTGTCAGATCGGAACGTGTTATTAGACGCGGACCTCATTCAAATAACATCACTAAGGTTACAGACTATCATTAACGAAATATTGCCAAATTTATTCTTATTTCATCCCAAAGCAATGCAGAAAAACTTGCATTACATGCTTTGTACATGCATTTGTTGCAAGCAGAATTTATTACTGCACAAAATGCAGCAAGACAGAACAAAAACAAACACATCTGCCTAGTCTCAACCATTTGAAAGCTACAGAAGATTTCTAGGCTACTAGTCAGTCAGTACAGTTGATTTGTTGAATTAAATTATTATCAGAGCTTTTCTTCAGTTTCCTATTAAGACTGTTGTGCCATCAACTATTGCAAATAAGCTTAGTAGCATGGCTTTGAGCAAGTGTGATCAGCAGCAGTGCTCACCTTTTACTGATACAAATACACTTTTATCAGCAGTGGTCACATTTTGAACTGGTGAGAATCTCCTTATTTAAAGATGTTGGCTGCCATCTAGTGGCAACATGTAGTCGTGCACCAGTGTCAGGCAACAGGTGGCATTGTATTCACCTAGGAAGGGAGCATATATATATATATATATATATATATATATATATATATATATATATTATATATATATATATATATATATAAAAATTTATTCCGTCTTTTTTTCTGTGAAAGCCTGGTTTGGGAACTTGGGGAAAAAATAAGAATAATCTCAACAACATTGTTAAGATGGCAAACAAAATGACATGTTCATCCGTCACATCACCCAAAAAGTGAGATTGATACTGAGTTTTCCAGACCATCCACATTACTTTGAGTTTCAGCTTCTTCTTTCTGGAGGCAGATTTAGGCTCTCAGTGGTAAAAAGCAACAGATGGAAGAACTCTTTCATACTCAAGGCTATAGGGTTATTAGATTTGTTATTTATGTATTTTTTACAATACAGGACGGATGTTGTTGTGGATGTTGCGGATGTTGCTGATGTGTATGTATTCTTGTGTTATCTGTTTAGTAAACTTGGATGTAAAATAAATTTCCCCTCTGGGCACAATAAAAGGAACTGAAGCATATTTGATTACTGCAACAAAAACAATAATGAGAGCATGTATCACTCCTGTTTTTAAAACTGTTTTAGCACTCGTTCCCTGTATCTTTTAAGATGGATTTTAAATGTTCTTTTACTCTTTTTTTAAAGCTCTAAATGACCTGCGTACCACACTGAATGTCTCTCTTATTATGTTTCAACACGTGATCTAAGATCTGCAGACACTGGCCTTCTGCAAATGCTGTCCACAAATCAAAGAATTTGTAGAGAGGCCTTTTTCTGTTATTGCACTTAGAAACTTTCACATTTAGAGTCAAGATTGGCACACACTTTAAAGCAAGCATCTTTTATATAAAAACTTTATTGTTCATTAAAATTCAAAAATAGGGAACAAAGCATAGAAATCCACAATCTTTACATTAGAGTCTTGGGCCCTATTTACAGAGAGAGATGAAAAAGTGAAGGAAGTCAGAGTTTATCAAAAGGCCTTTGTTTGCCATAATTGTTTTGCAGTGGCCTTTAAACGTGATACATGCTTCATTTCATATGTACTAACCTATTGAGCTTTGTAGATCATTGTAAATATTGTCAACAAAGATGTCAAAAATACATGAGTAATGTTGAAATATCTGACATAGTTATATTTGTAAAGTGGTTTGATTTGCAAAGTTTAACCCTTTGATGTGCAGGCCATAATGAGGCCCAGTGTAGTGAAAGTGGGTGAGACTGTCAAAAGGTCTCCATATGTTATGGTTATTGATCAGAAGCCTTCAGCAAAGATGTTCACCAAGATTTGTGGAGATTGACATTTTGAGCTTGGTATAAAAAGCCATAACATTATGACCACCTCCTTGTTTCTACACTAATTGTCCATTTTATCAGCTCCACTTATCATATGAGCACTTTATAGTTCTACAATTAAAGACTGTAGTCCATCTGTTTCTCTGCATACTTTACTAGCCCCCCCTTACACCCTGTTCTTTAATGGTCAGGAGCCTAACAGGACCACCACAGAGCAGGTACTATTTGGGTGGTGGATCATTCTCAGCACTAACAGTAACACTGACGTGGTGGTGGTGTGTTAGTGTGTGTTGCGCTGGTACGAGTGGATCAGACACAGCAGTGCTGCTGGAGTTTTTAAACACTGTGTCCACTCACTGTCCACTCTATTAAACACATACCATGTTGGTACATCTTGTAAATGTAAAGTCAGAGACAATAGCTCATCTGTTGCTGCAGAGTTTGTGTTGGTTATCTAGTCCTTCATCACAGGACACTGTTGGCTGGTTGTTTTTGGTTGGTGGATCATTCTCAGTCCAGCAGTGACACTGAGGTGTTTAAAAAGTCCAGCAGGACTGCTGTCTCTGATCCACTCGTACCAGCACAACACACACTAACACACCACCACATCAGTGTCACTGCAGTGCTGAGAATGATCCACCACCCAAATATCCAGTAACTGACTTATTTTATCCAGTCAAAACACCTTATAACATTAAAATAAATGGTTAACTGCCATTTCTTAATTATGTTACAAACTGAGGACATAGCTACCTGAAAATGTTTTGCTGTCTTCTTATAGCCTTCTCCTGCTTTGTGGAAGGCAGCTGCTTATAGGAGCCCATAGCTGCTGATTATTGGGACAAGGTTTGAGGAGTCAGGGTGTTTATAGAACTTTTGCATCAAGTGACCTTTCCTACCATTGACTGTGAACAACAGGATAATTAAGGTCTAAGACTTTTCAAGGTGAAAGTTACTCAAAGCTCAAATCTCTTGGGATGCCCAAACTTTTGCATGATGTTCCTTTTCCTTTTTTCTCTGTAAAATTGTACTTAACAAAAATATTACACTGATCTTGCTTAAAGTGTTGAAAAGAATGTTTCATTTTTTAACTTCTTTTAGAGATCAGTTCATCTTCAGAGTAACTATTCACAGTAACAGAAATTTTGAACAGAGATGCCCAAACTTTTGCATACCACTGTACCTGACCTCACTAATGCTCGTGGCTGAATGCAATCAAATCCTCACAGCATTGATGGAACATCTAGTGTAAAACCTTCCTAGAAGAGTAGATACTGTTAATGCCATCTTTGCCCATCAGGCAAAACTAGGACAACATGAAAGACTATTAGATAGGATTACTATTAAATGGTATTCCAGCACTGAGCTGGAACTCATAAATTGGAGGTATAACAAACTAATCATTTACAGTTACAGTACCCTGAGTGAAGGAATAACACACAGCTGTATTCATCTGTGAGGTTTTCATATCTAGCACTGGTTAAGCTGCCAACATAACATCAGCACAGCCTGAGTTATAGCAATGTATTAATATTTTATTCTAATTACAATAAACAGAATATAGCAGTCCCTTATTTGTACAAAAAATACCTGAAAAGGTTACAATTAGGATTTGTAAGCCATTCAGCTATTTACAGAACCAAAAAAGCACATTTTCAATACAGGATCTTCCAAAGAGGAAAAGCTCTTTTTCTGCATTCCCTGAAAGACACATATACTTATTCACTCTATTTTGCATTGTGACAGGAGTTGAAAAGCACATGAGCTGTCATCACTACATGAGGGGCTATGCTTTGTGGGCCGGTCATGTTGTGTAGTCAGTCAGCACTAAAGAGCAGGAATGCTTTATCTGGAAAGCTCCCCATCGCACACTCATCTGGACTGTGAGATGCCCTGGACGAGCCCAGATGACCACTCCTGCTCCCAAGACCTTCTTCATGAATGCTTCTGTGGGACTACATGTGTGTTATATCTCAACACTAAAGCCCACAGCACACAGACTCAACACTCTCCCAATAAACCCAAATACTGGTTCTCCCCCATTCAGACTGTTCGAGAACATTCTCCTCAGTACAGTCATAGAATGTTCTTCTCATTTCACTGTTTTAGAACGTTCTCCTCAGTCTACACTGTTTTTGAACATTCTTGCAGTGCGCGGTTTTAGAACGTTCCCCTTAGTTTACACGGTTTTAGAATGTTCTTGCCAGTTTGCGGTTTTAGAACTCTGTCCCTGGTTCACACTGTTTTAGAACTGTTTTTACTAGTTCACGGTTTTAGAACATTCCCAGTTAACGCTGTCTTAGACGTTTCTCCTGTTCACACTGTTCTAGAACGCTCTTGCTCATTCATATTGTTCTAGAATGCTTTCCCATATTTGTCCTGTTCTATAATGTTCTCCTGAATTCAGTGTTCTAGACAGTGCTATGACAGTATGAAGAAGAGAGAATGTTCCCCCAGTTCACACTGGATGTTCTACATGTTCTCTTCAGTTCACCCTGTTGTAGAATAGTCAACCCTGTTCACTGTTCTAAAACGCTCTCCCCCATTTATACTATTCTAGCATGCTCTCTACATTCACACTGTCCAAGAATACTCTCCACTTTCACACCGTTCTAGAATGTTCCCATTCACATGGGTTCATTTGGCTTGTCAATAAATGTTGGTGTTTCTTGGAGAAAGCAAAGTCAGTGTGCCATGGCCTTAAGACTGCTGACGTAGGAGCAGCTCTGCCTTCATCCAGGTCACTGTATTAATCAGGACTCAAAAGGCTGAAGCTGATCCTAGATCTGATCCAAGTCTGAAACATATAAAAGTGTATGTGAGTGTGTTTTTGGGGAAGGGGTGCGGGTGGTTGGAAGCACCTGCTGGACTTTAGGCTTTGAGAAATCAGTAGGGCCAAAACACAGATGAAACTCCATGTCCTCCACCATTTCAATTTCAATACATGGTAGGATTACTTTCCAAAAATGAAATAAAATATAAAAAAAAAAACTGGCAGCGAGATTTTGGTATACACTAAATACACCCTCAAAACAGTTCACACATGATGTAAATTATTAATGTTACCAGCTCATCTGAACAACAGGACAGTATGCAAAGACTTTAAAGTGTAGCTTCTGATCTGTGAAAACAAGACAACACTATAACGAGGATCCCACAAGGGCTAAGTTCGTTAGCATTTTCATTGTAAGTGTATTCAGTGATTTTTAGATTTAGCTTAATAGTGACCTCTGACCACAAGACTTTCTCCTCAGACTCCAGTTTTTTTTACCAGCTTAATTTAAACATAACAAGCATTCTTTAAGGTCATTTGACATAAGAAACATAAAATAAAAACAATATTTACACTTTACCAAATACAAAAAAAAGCACAGTCAAGTTTCTTCATTTTGTATGTGATTGTGAAAAAAAAATAAACTAAATGTAGAACATAGTGATCGGAAACCTAAAATACAGTGTCATATCTATGAACCTTCTTATGGTTGTATATAGCCATGTGTTTACTGCTGAATGTATATTACATCATAAATCAAAGGGTAGAACAAGCGTTGAATTCAGCATGAATTTGAGCTCAATCTTTGAACAATATGATACTTCTGAACATTTTAATTAAGGTTCTGGGAACAAAAACAGCTATGGCACATACCAATTACAAAAATACTCATATAACTGACAAAGTGTTTGGAATTAAAACTTGTCATTGGTGAAAAACCTTTTATAGATGTCCAACAATTATACCACTGTCACTGAACTGAATTGGTCTGGGATCTTTGCACTTGATGACCATGATCTGTGCTCCTCTGCTATGAAGGGGTGTGCCAGACCTCATGCACTTTTATTGCAGATCCAAGTTCTTTGTCCCATCAGAAGAATCACAAATTTATTCTTCATTTGGGTTAAACCAATGCTTGGAGGGAAAAAGCACCAAGAAAGTGACCACTGACTAATGTAAACAATTACTTCAATGCCAGTTTATTCCTTGGAATGCCATCATTGTGCATCATTTACAAGAAGGAACAAACTTTGCATTGAAACAACTGGCTAGTGGCTCTGTTTTAGTAACAATTCTGCTTCTCCCAGACCTACTCCAAACCTACGGGGAAACTATTCTTCAGTAAGATATTTAGTGCAGTTACGGTACTTGAGTGTTAATTAACCATGGTGATTATTTAGTGACTCTTAACAAATGCCTGAAAAACAAAGTGCTAATAATGGTAATCACATTGACAAGGCCTGTCCTTGTTTCTTCTCTTTTGCCCAAAGAAAGACACCATGGTTGTAGGGTACCAAGTCAACTGTTGACCATCCACAATCCTCAGCACAGAAAAGAAGCCATGTACTGATTGCATGTTTCCTGAGCAGACCTTTTTTGCACTGAGAAATGAGCTCAAGCGAACGGCGCTGCTGACTCAAACTCCTCTGTCTCTCAGTGAACCTCTTTCGTTCTTCCATTAATGTAATCATATCTAAATCTCATTACCTCTAGTGGAATACTGAGACCATCTGACATACGTTGATCATTAATGACTCCCTAGTAAACAATAAAATGCATTTTTTCCTTTCTTCTCTTTTGAAAAGAGAATAACATCGCTGAGCCAAAGGAACTATGGTGGTATCTGTGATTGAGTGAGTGAAAAATAAAGGAGACAAGGGAGTAGTACAAAACTACAGTAGTTGATGGTGAAAAGTCATGATGAATTCAAGAAAGCAGGGTTAGTTTACCAAAAAATAAAAAAATAATATTTAAACAAATAATACATGAGGCTCAATAAGGTTGTGAAAATGTGGAAGAACAGTATTGAACAGCGCTGAGAAATTCACTAAATTTCAAGTAATCATTTAAATCCAGATAAATAAATAGATTCATGGAAACAATACTTAAAAATGATTGCATCATTTGCATTTTATCTGTGTAATAATGGTCACTCAGGTGAGCTCGTAGACACGGTGGCTAGGCCTTCTCTATCTAGCTTAATACATTATAGGCAAATGCTAAAAAGATGGCTCTTCTGTAAAGTCAAGCGTTACAATTCAAAATATCTTTACAAATCTGTCTGTATTTACTGCTACCATTGAACAAGGCAGAATAGAAAATTAAACCCCCACCAAGCCGCCAGGCTTCACAGTGCACTGTCCTATTGACAATCTGTCAAGACACGGAAAGGAGAAATGGCAATCAAACGGATTGGTGGTCCAACCTAAAGGTGGCAGCAGTTCAGGTGGTTTCCCCATCTCTTGATGGTGCCCCCGACAGTTTCCATCACGTGCAACAGAACTCCCTGTAGTTAGCATTTTGGAGGGTGGGGGTGGACATAGTGGTCATTTCTCCACTGAGCTCCACTTTGCCATCAAGATGTCCTTCCTAATGGTGGTGGTGGCAGTGATGCTGATGTCAGTGAAGTAACCAACGTCATCTCTGTAGTGGCAGACGGCATATCCTCATACAGATGGCAGAAGGTGCTTCAAAAGTCTCATGATGGAACGAGGGGTGATGGAACGCTTTGGGGCATCAGTTGAGGCAAACCGCCTCAGTACTGACATGGAATCAAAAGAGGGAAAAAAATAGTACCAAAGAGAAGTGTTGGTAAGAAAATGTTCAGAAAACAGAGTTCAACCTGCTGAAATTTAAGGGTGCTGTAAGGGAGGAAACATTCTTCTGATCCACATGGAGAAAGGTGGGGCAGGAAAGGGCAGAATGTGAGATTTCACTGACCATGACCAGGGTCTCTTTCACAGTTCTGTGCTCACTTCAGAAGACCATCTCCAGAAATCATTCCAGCTCTTAGCAATAAAGGGTGTTTACAAAGAGAGGAGGACTTAATGCAGCTTGGGTTTTGAATTACATAGTTATAGCTCAGCTGTTCCCTGTTCATGAATGCAAAACAAAATCAAACTTGCAAACTAGATGTAATCAGCCCACCTTCCATCATCTGCAGATTCTGGAGACCTTCTAAAACAACAGCCCTCCTGATTATCTTTAACAGGACCTTTAAATAAGTGCATAGGACCTCCTGATAACTGTATGATGGAGAAACCACACAGAGAACAATTACAGACTGCACCCCAGTTTACCAGTGGATGAAGGCTTGTTGGCAACCAAGATGTGAGAATCATCATGGTCCTGTTTGCACTTGTGGTCTTCTCTAAAGCACAGAGGAACACCTGCAGTGTACTCGTCTGAGGACAACCAGTCTCTATGCAGCTCTGCATAGCACTAAACCACTGAAATATTGTCTGATTCTCAGAGAGCAGAGGGCTTGTCTTAAGTCCAGTTTGGGGGGTCATAAGGCCACAATGGTGCAGGGGTGCTTGAGTCTGCAAGGCAAGACTCCTCTGTTGAGCTGGTAAAACTCCACTAGTTGGATCAGGTCTGTGAATTTGGTGGTGCCATCATCAAGGCTGAAGAACACCTGACCATCCTCTTCACACTGGATACAACACAACAATGACAAAATAAACTGAGCAATCAGGTAACTAAATTAAGCTTTGCTGTAACAAATTCCACACTGTATCATTCTAACACTGTCTAATGATGTTTTATGGAATATTTCATAATGGGTGATGTAGTATGAGCTTACCGGTAAAATTTGAAAGTGTTTGATTTTCTGGTGGTGGCACAGGGTCAGCACAAAAGCCTTAGGATTGCTCTGGCTGTCCCTTAAGAGAAACAATCTGACACAAGAAGGAAAAAAATTTAATACAAGCAAAGACATACTTGATATCCACTATTATATTAATTCAACTTCACTGGACAGTTTCAATGTGCTTGAAGGAGAACACTGTTGCATCAGCTAACAGATGCCCATGTTGGCTAGCATTGTGCTGGGTGATGGGGGGGAGAGGGAGGCACATCGTATACACCTAGGCCCAATCCCATTTCTTATTTTTAGCCCTACCCCTTGTTTTCGAGTGTCATCTTGCCCCTAGTGGTTGAAATCTTCCCCTACTGACACAACCCTCAAATAAAAAAACATAACATTAACAGGCAACTAGTGCTGCTCTGTAGGCAGTGATAGCAGAGGAGTGGTAAAGTTCAGTAACCTCACTGCTGGTCTTTTGTTAAATTTAGGGCATCATATGTCTTCAAAGCGGGGGGTGTGACAATTATAAATTAGGCCCACCCCTAATTCTTCGGTCATACGGAGCTGAAGTGAGCTATTCGCTAGCTTCTTGTTCAAAGCATAGTAGTATGCTGTCTTGGTAGCTAGCTAAATTTTCCATTCCACCTTAAATGGTGCAGCAGTTATGTTCTGCTGCTTCAGATGTCGGAACTGCTACACCATTTAGGGTGCAATGGGAAATTTAGCAAGCTACCAAGACAGCATACTACTAGGGATTTTTTATGCTTGTTATGAAGAAAACAACCATAATACATTGGTTTCTTTGTTTGCTCGTGCAGCCATCTTGTCATTGTCTATTTGGAGTGTGCCTCTGAAAAACCTCAGGCATGAACGTGCAAAAAGAGGTGAAGGGCTAAGTGGTAGGGGCAAGGGGTGAAATGGGATTGGACCCTACAGAGAGCGAGCACAATTACACTCTTTTGGATTCCCGGCAACAGATGCCTATGGCATCGCTGGGACTGAACTCATGATCTCCCCACAACATGGCCTTTGATAGTTGCAGCACTCTGAAGCTGAAAGTAATTGTTTGATGTGTAAACTGAAAAATGCAATGAGCTGAACTCCATACCCATCCACTTGACCCTGTTGGTGAATCATCTTATGCGATTCCTCCCGTGTAATCCGACCATGAAACCAAAGCTGAGTTTTGTGTATTACTGGGTAGTGAAGAAAACACAGAGACACTAAGCAAAGCATTAAAATGAAGCACCAGCTGTAAACACAACGATTTATATGTGAGGATATGGACAGAGAAAAATGTAGAACAAAAGGGTTAGCACAATAAAGCACAATATTCTCGTAAGACGAGGAAATGTCTTGGTCTGCTGCAACGTTAAGATTTCCCTTCACTGGCACTAAGGGGCCTAGGCCAACACCAAACTTTACACTTGGCACAATGCAGTCAGGCAGGTAATGTTCTCCTGGCATTCGCCAAACCCAGCCAGACGGAGAAGTGTGATTCGTCACTCCACAGATTGCGTTTCCACTGCTCCAGAGTCCAGTGGTGGCGTGCCTTACACCAGTTTCACAAACTGACTTGGCAGTGGAGGCATCCTATGACAGTGCCACGCTTAAAGTCACTGAGGTCATTAGTACGAACCATTTTACCGGCAGTGTTTGTCTATCGAGACTGCAAGCTATGTTCTTAATTTTATCCCCCTGTTAGCAATGAGTGTGGCTAAAACACCTGAACTCAATAATTAGGAGGGGTGTCCCAATACTTTTGTCTATATAGTGTAGCTCTAGCTCAGATGGAAACCATTACAACCTAGCAGATTCACAGCTTGGAAATGGAAAGTACCTCCACTTAATGATGAGGGGTGTAGTGGACTTGGGCTTCCCAGATTGTTCATGCGTTGACTTCTCTTCTGTAATCAAAAGGAGGAGAAAAAAGGAAAAAAAAACAGTGAACTTTGCAGTTCATTACACAAGAAGAAGCAATGAAGCAACATGAATATAAAGCACAAAATGACAATATAAGATAAGGTGTAAGACTAGATTTTTCAACTATTTTGGGTTTGTTTTAGACTTTAACCAACTGTGGCTTTTATTTATGTTCTGTTACCCATCATAATCTAGTTAGGTAAGACTGACCATTGGCCAAGTGTGTACCCAGGTCTAACTCTTGTTATAAGCAAGAAAAAAAAATACAAACAAACAAACAAACCAATAAACAAGTAAATTCACAGATTTTGATGCTCACCCTCCACGCATGGCCTTCCTCCACTGCGGCACTTTGGGCTTCCACAGGATTGTCGATAACCCTGCCTATCCTCCCTGAGAAATCCATAGCGACCAGAGAGTTTTCAGACACACTCCTCTGAGAAGAGATGACACTGGAGTGAATGTGAGCATTGTGCACCATTTGTGTTCAAGTACCCTATGCATAAATGCACTCAGTAACTTTAGAAACATTCATTGCATGTGAAGCTAAAAACTCCCAATCCTGCAAGTGACCATTTTCAAAGACCTGCAGAACAAAAAATCATGAGGGGTTATTATTTTTCAAACATGGGTGTGTTTTTAGGAGCCCTTATGAAACATAATGAGTCTATAACTGTTGCCTTTTTATTTGAATACAACTATTAAATAACAAGTTGCATTGTTGGCACTCTTAATAAAATCAGTAATTTCTAGTTACTGCCATGCTGAGAATCTGTTTATTAATGAAGTGCACTGAGTGTGAAGTATTATTCACAAGCAAAACATATCACTGATGTTGGCACAGTCAATCAGTAATTCAGCAGATTGCAATTAACTATACAACAGAATGTGATTAATCACGATTAGCTACTTCAAATGTTTGAACAGCCCTAATTTATATAAATGCAAATTTGAAATACACAGTTTTGTATATGTACCAAAAAATTAGATAGTAAAATTTGCATAAAGGTTCAAAGCAGCAAAGGCATTTTATAGGCACTGTTACAGTGCAACTACTTCTGCGTGAATTCAGCTACCAAACACTTCTGCTGACAAATGAACTGGAGTCTCCACAAAGACTTGGTCGGTTACCAATTCGGTTACTCCAATTCTGTAATGTGGCATAACAGCACACCACATGCAGAGGGCTTGTGTGGGAAAACGTGCTTGGCTCTGCAGGCCTGCCTGTTCAACATCAAGCCCACACACTGGCACATCTGCAAGTGAAGTAAATTGAACCTCTAGATACACAAAGAGAAAAGAAAAAGAATGAAAGAAGAAAGAGAAGAATGTGGGATCTCACCACTGGTGTTGAGAAGTGTGAGAGCAAAGCTTTTCTCTGTTGTGGGATCTTGTAGTTCTGATAAAGAACAATTCCATACTGTATGAAGACGGACACAAAAGAAAAGAAATTCAATGAATATGGTAAATCCTGAAACACTTTTCTACAAATCTCTTGACAATTCCAGCTCTGGCCGAGTAAAAAAAGAGAGGAACATTATCACACCTTGAACAGTCTGAAAGCCGTCATCCAGCATGTTCTGCTCTGTTCGTCTTCTGCACACAACATTCTCAGCTCTTTCTGCTCACTCCGCACCTTGTTGGGCTGAAGACAAAAACAAACTGATGTGTTAGCTCACTCGCTAAGCAAACAGCTGTAAGCAACCTCAAACTTTTAGCCTGCACGCTAACAAAGTAGCTTCAGGCAAACTCGGGTTGTTAGTCTTCTCACTTTCGGCATGTTGCTAACTGTACTGTTTCTAATGGAAATGAGCTTTGGCCATGCAAAGTATTCCAGTGCTGACAAGAATTAGTCTCTTTAGATTTTGCATATTTGGAAACTCTGCAACATTAACAGTAGGCCTACAGACTGAGCATTTGCATGTGTGTGACACAGACAGCATGTGCCTGTGTACTTCGGAAGAGGTGCATGCATACTAGTATGAAAAAAAAGAAAGAAAAAGTGTGTGAGAGAGAGAGACATTGTAATTAAAGTTCAACATGCTATGTTTCAAGTGTAGTCAAGGAGATTCGCTGTTCCTGTGGGGCAGATTTGATCCTTAACTCTTTATTATCAGAAAGTGGGTCAGAGAGGCTGGACCTCCAAGAGGCTTTTCCCAGCAGGATGCCATCTCAGGAAGACAGCTTCATCACACAATGCCAGTCAAACACTGAGAGCCAGCAAGCACAGTGGAACTAATGAAGAAAGAAGCGACTATCCTCGACTCACAGGAAACTCAAAAGCGCTGAATCAGATACATGCTTCTCCTAAAACACCTCCAAAGAGCAAGAGAGGCTTTGGCCAGCATTCTTTGGGTCACAATCTCATATTTATGGTCAGAAATTGCCCTTTTCCAGATGATGGAAAGTGTGGAGTAGGCCTGGCCTTACCTTTATACAAAACTCGTACTCTGCTGGAGCATTGTGAAGCTTCTTGCCTGCTATTACAGTAAAGATATTGCTGTCTTCGAGGTCTGCGAGTAACTGCAAATGCCTTGGTTCCTGTGGGAGTTCAGTCAAAAGTTCATGTCATTGCATAACAAATTTTACTTTTATTTCTTGACCAATACCTCCACTTCATGGCAAAATATATTTGCAGCTGCAGCTCTGAGACTAATAGAAGTGAGAAGCACGTCTAAGAAGAAACTGGCAAGCATACCTTTGACGTTCCTTTCGTCGAAAAGTACAATCCTGAGCGTCTCAAAAACACATACAGCTTCTTCCATGACTTCCTGCCTGTTTCTTTCACATACAAGTAACCCTGGATTTCAGGACAGCTGGTGGAGTTTAAGAAGTTCTGGAGAGCAGAGGATGAGAAGAATGTAATAGTTGCAGAGAATTAATGGCAATTCCAGTGCAAATCTGGACACATACGGAGGATGCAACAGGAGTATGTGCACTGTACCTGCAACAGTTGAGAAGGGGGAATGGTTCTACTGCTTTCCTGACACCAGGCCACCATTTGCTCTGGGAAGAAGTTCTGTTGATTGGACAGAGTTATCAGTTGAGATTTTACAAGATACACAAGACACCAACATTTGATTCTAAGTAGTTTGGTTTTGATCAGAGTAGCACAACCTGCATCTTTTAATTGTGGACATATTCAGATGGTGTAGTGCTGACACCTAAATTATACACAGGGAAGAACTGTTGGTGGACACCAGTGTGTCTGCTGGGCCAAAAACAGTTTCAATAAACAATTTATAAGAGACATTAATTTATTTCAGGACAGTTTAATTTGATTTCAAAACCAGAGATTACACATAGTAATAGAACGAAATTAGCAACATGCATATCAATGGTGAAACAGATTTACAAAGTAGGAGTTGCAGAATGGGGCTTAAAAGAACATAATAAGGCTCCAATCAGCATGTTTAACCCCAAATTTTGTTAGAACCACATGACTAACGTATTTGTTTCATTATAGTTACTGAGAAATTTACATTAGCTTTACATAAGCCTGGATTTTAAAGTTAAACATGAGAATCTTGTTTCTGTGTAGGATTCCACAATGCCATTAATAGCCACACACCAAAGACTCCCCAAAGCAGTTCCAAGTAATCCACCATCATTAGGTCACCAGTGCATGACAAAATAAAACAGTTCTAATGTAACTGCTTTTATAAAAGCACTTTCTCCTGCTGTGAATGAAGATTAAAGTGAGAGAACTAAAAATCATTCTAGACGTTTTGTCATCCGCTGAAAAGAACAAACTGTTAAATAAACTTTTTTAACCGCAAGCCTGCCCTGTACTGCCTGTCATAGCTTCAAATGATATTACCTCGACATGGTGTCGACAACAAATTTGGATTCAACTCAGTCTCATGGTATCTGATTAAATAAAGCACTGGAAAGCATGCATAGGGCAAAAATATTCTTCACTTATATAGAAAATATGGTATGTTGTATAATGTATAAAAAAAGTCTTAAATTTTATCAGTGTCGCTAAATTTGGAGCTGAAACTGGAAACAGTATAATAGTTTGGACATTTGAATACTGTATATTGTAACTTCACAGCTTCATAACTTTTGACAAAGGCCAAACTGGACTACCTCTCAGAGAAACTGCATCTGGAGGAATGAGTCTCTTTGGGGAGGTTTTGAGTGGGAGCAAGACAAGTTCACTGAAGTGGAGGCCTGTCACTTGATATCTGTGTCTCCCAAGAAAGCACAAAAACAATTTCTCTACTTCACACACACCCTGAAACCATGATTTAGATGTTATAAAAAACTTCTAAAATTCACCACAGAAACCCATGTGACCACATATGTGCATGTTCATAACATAAATTAAATACCACAAAAAAGAACAACATAAATAACAAACATAAATCAAAATACCAGAAACAAGATGGTGTTAAGGATTAACTCACCAAAGGATTTCTAAAGAATTCATATTTGGCATAGTTCTTCCTGAAGAGAAATTTGCTCTCACTGGTCATAGATGCCTGCACTTGCACCACAAGTTCATGATCTTCTAAGCATCTCTCTGCAGACAGATAGAATGGAAAACAGAAACTCAGACAAGGCCAAACTGTTCATTCTCTCAAAAGCCACACATTTCCTTAATTACATAATTTGCCCATCCATGAAAATTGCACCCTCAAGTAAGTACAAATGCATATTTTTCAAAACAAAGCCTTGAATGTACTTTTATTGGTGTTCTGAATGACATCATCATCTGTTCACCTTCCCTCCCCTGGCAGACTGAAAAATAAACAGGGAAGAGGGAAAGCTCCACTTTCAAAATGAAAAGAGAGTTGGTCTGTGAGACAGGATCCACCTCACCCCCTACAACCCCCACCTCCGATAGAGTTAACTATCCCACTATCCGCCACCCCTCGCCACCAAAACGCATGACTGCTTTTGAGCACTCTTCTTAGCTGTCTAATCACCACAGTCTCTTGCTCTCTTGCTCCCTTTCAAACATATGACACTGATTGAACAGGTTTCAACTGGGACAACATTTCCCCTCTTCATACAGTACTACGTAAAATTCCAAATTCAAGTCAAACAGGCCTTTGAATAAGGTATTTATTTTTCAGCATCAGTGAAAAAAAGCAGGAAACACATTTAGCAGAAGCCATAACAACTAAATATAATATCAAAATCAGTGTATAAGGTATCCACTCTTCACTCTTAACCCCATACGTGGCCAAAGTTTTATTACATACTTCTATAACCTGAGAATAGCTCAACTAGTTTGCATTGAAGTCCTTCTAGTTACTGAATAATGAGCCTTAATATATAATAATCCATTAAGGTGTTAAACGTGGGTTGCATTTTCTACTTCTCATGAGCCAAGTAATCCCAAACATATTCAAAGATGTTGCGGTCTGGACCCTGGGCTGGTCAGTCAATTGATCTGAGAACACCAGCAGCTTCTTTCTTTGATTTGCAAATTTTCTTCTTTATTGCCCATTTCCTTTTTTCAGTAACAGCTTTACAATGCCAAGTCATCTTGAAGCAAGAGTGGAGCTTGTGTGCTGTTTATTTGATGGGGACAGAGTCCTATTTTCTCTGAATCTTTTAATCATTTTCAGCTATATAATTACACATACATTCACTGTACATTCTATATCGACAGATTCAAGTCTACAGTTCCATTTTGTTTCAAGGTAAAAAATGGCAAAATATTTTGAGTGACTGACTGGACTCACAACAATTACTTCAAATTCAAATTTTAATGAAATACTCTTTTAATTGCACAAAAGTATTAATTGAAAGTATTTGTCCACTTATTTCAATGAATTACGTGTGAGAAATAATTTATATAAAATTATAATATGCATTAGTTGTCCCAGTGATAACCCTGTGACTTCTTTATTAATAACATGTGGTGATCTTCTCCGCTAGCTTGCGCTAGACTAGTTTGGACCCGCTAAGCCTCTGTTCCCATATAGGTGAGAATTGGGCTTTGCAGAGCAATGATGTAATGCTGTTAGCATGCTTTTGGCACAGTTAATTCATACTATGACATTTTAAGACTGTGCTTGGAATATTAAATCAAGTTACAGCCTAACCTGAAGGTTAATGAAAAAAATGTTGAGTGCTACTCTTCTATATTGCAGACTGTAAGTGTATTCAGTACAACAGCTTAAATTTTAAGATTCCAATCTTTAGTACACTAGTACAAGAGAAACGTTGGATATGAGACCAAAAAATGTCTTATACTAGTGCTGTCAAAAGAAGCAGAGCGAGGTTCAAGTTTAGTTTTACCCACCGTAATTAACCTTTAAAATGGATACAAAAACCAGTGGGTGCAAATTTTTATTACATACTTCTGTAACTTTAAAATAACACAGCCGGTTTGCACTGTAGTCCATGTAGTTAATGAATAATCTGTCTTAAGACAATAAACTGGAGACTTTAAGGGGTTAAGGAAACACTGCCTTTACAGTTCTTATCAACACAAAAGTCATCTGGAAACTGGAAGCTAAATTAACCATCTGTTCAGAAAGGGCATTGCAAAAAGAAAATGTGATAAAGACAAAGGAAGAAAAAGAAAGAAAAAATGAAAAAGAGAAAGGAGAAGTAAAAAAAAACTGCAGTCATCTCAAAAGTGGAAGTAACTGCTGAGAGTCTGAAAGGGTGGGACACTTCTTTATGAAGTCTGAACTAGTCTGACACCACTTATTTCATGAAGTCCAAACTAAAACTAAATACCATTCACAGACAGTAGAGAACTGTTCTGCAGATAATGGTAGCCACTGGTCATCTGTGAGTCAGCGGCACACATAAGCTGTAAAAGAAGCCTGGTGTATGGTGTAGCCTACGTGAGATGACCTCATCTCATCTGTGTCTATAACTTTGACATCTCTAATGACCAGCGCATTCTCATACATTTCAGTCCTGCACATAAAATAAAGGACAATAAAGTACAGCTGTGGACTGTGCTCTTCCTGGTGAAGCCAAGATAGCTTCTGCGGGTAAAGCCTCCGTGCTTCTTGCGTTGCTTTAGCCAATGACCAGGCACCTGACTCCATTTCTGTACAGCCGCCCTCATTTCTCCATGTGATGGGATTTTCCCTGTGCCATTAATCAATTACACACTGCAGCGAGACATGAAAGGACAGACATGTTTCCACCCCTCTCCTGCTCCTTCCAAAGGTCTTCATTGGATTCTACACAAAGAATCCAAGAACGTCTCTGACTAACTCCCTGTCTCTCCAGTCTGCATGAACATCTTGCCCACTTACCTAGCCCCATGGCTGGGTGATGCTCCACAAGTGCCCAACTGTTGTCATCCACACAATGGCTTTTGTACACAAGAAGCTGGCACAGGTCTCGCGCAGTCATGTCGGCTGGGATCTCCACCACTTTGCCCATGCCGTCCTCGTTGAAGATTTTAATAATCTGAAATGAAAAAAAAATAAAAATGACATTTGCTTAGTCTGTTGCTGCCATTATATGGAATAATACTGTTTAACTACCAAAAACAAAAAAAGCACATTTACACATTAAAAAAATCTCTCAATCGTAGGACTGAGTGGTTTTTGAACTGCGTCACAGGTTCATTTTGCATTCATATTAAAACACAGGATAATACCTGCAGTTCATACTGTAACTGTTTTTCCCAGTATTAGGACAATTTGGAACATCTCAAGTGTGTGCAGTATCAGACATCATATGTTTACATTTATTATACTGAATGATATCCTTTTTTTTTTTTAATGTAAAAAAAGGTTTCAGAAAATTGATCTTAGATTCAGGTTCTCATTCACGCTCCGCTTGTCAGTAATACCTCCACACACTGTGAAAACTCCAATTCATGACCGAACCATTTTTCTCGAAAATTCTCTTTCTGCATTTGCTACATTGGATGTTCTGCGCTCATCCGCGCATCCGCCTAGTCTTTCACCCCCAACATGCACAAACACACACATCCTTCTCCTGCAGCACATTTCGCAGGTTCTGTCGTGTCAACCTCTCAAACCCTACCCACATCTTTGATTTGGCACACACCACCCTGCTTGCTGCATCCTCGTAAGCTACCCCTTAAACTTTCAACGTCACCGCTTCCACAAGTCCATGCCCTGTGCTCTGTTTCCCCCTCCCCCTCTTCAGGAAAAATAAAAAAAAAATAAAGAAAAAAAAAAAGAAACACTAAACTTCCCTATTCCGCTGTCCCTAGACAGCCCTCTGCTCCCGGCCTCCTTCCAGTCTCCGCCAGCATTCCCCTGGGGGAGAAAGAGGCTCTTCCTTCCCCCAAGGAGGCGGCATGCAATTTAGGAGAAAATCTTACCTCCCCAGGCCTCAGCAGGCACCAGTCGGGAGAGCACGACGGCATTTTCGCCGGCAGCCTGCCTCCTCCGTGCACCAAAAGCCCAAGCTCTTTTCCACTGCTCTCCACAACTCCACCAGAGAGGGTGAAAAAGATAAAGAAGAAAAAAAGGAAAAAAAAGGGGGCGAAAAAAGAAAAAGAAAAGCGGGTCCAAGCACTCAGATGCTTGGCTGTCAGTGGCTCACTGTACCATACCTGTCACACAACCTCTCTCTCTCTCTCTCTGCTTCAGTCCCTCTCTCTCTCTCTCTCTCTCTCTCTCTCTCTCTCTCTCTCTCACACACACACACACACACACACACACACACGCTCTCTCTCCCCCGTTCTGTCCCTCTCTGCCTGGCTTTTCAGTTCGGGACAGAAGAAGCAGATGGCACTGTTTCGAGCTTGGCAGACAACTTCGGTCTATTCCCCTCACAAAGGGTTACAGGCGCAGGCTTTTAGGTAGCGAATCAAACCACACTTCCCTAACCAATCATAGAGCTGGCTCGGGCTGATGTAATCATTCCCACACACACACACACACACACACACACACACACCCCTCTCACATACATGCACACCCACAGACGCACAGTTATACACATGCATGGCCAACTTTTTCTTTTCCTGTCTGCTGCATAGCTTTGCTGTCTCTCTCCTTTTTTCTGAAGAGAGAGCAGAGCAACACATTTTCAGCAGGTTTAACTAATTTTTCTGGAACTGAGGGAGGCGGGGGAAGAAAGAGAAATAAGTGGGGTGGGGTGAGGGGGTGTCTGTCGTTTGAACTTTCATTTTGCAGGAGTTCCGGACAAGTTTCAAGTGAAGGCTTGTTTCTTTTCTCCCCCCCTCCAAAAGTTCAGCTTTGAAGTTTGAAGTCTGAAACCTCTGTCATGACAAGGCAAGGCTCATTACTGCTGCAATGAAACTAACTCTGCTCTGCCTCCACTCCAGTCTACCTCTGCCAACACTAGCACTGAAAAGAACAAAACCTGGAAACTTACTCCTACATACACAAACTCCAATCTAGCGCGGACTGACACATGCACACAAACACGCCCTCAAACTTCAAACTGCTAATTCATACAGAGAACTGAAATAAAAAACCTGTGCCCTGCCTATTATTGTTAATTTCTGTGGAACTGACATGCAGTTTGCCTCTTCAGCAAGCCAGCACTTCCTGTAAAACCACTACAGTTTGGATACAGTCAAGAGCTGCCTGCATGGCTAGTCCTACTGAAATTAACTTCAATGACCACAGAAAATGCAGCATTGGAAAGAAAGGATGACTCAAACTCTTTCATTGCCTCCAGGGGGGAAGAATTTGGCCATGGGGTGGGGGAAGGAGTGAGAGAGAGAGAAAGAGAGATCGAGAGAGGAAGCCTGAAGAGAGAGTTTGTTAGGATAGTCACATAAAAGGCATGCTAACTCTCTAGGGCTCCAGCTGGCTTGCTAGCCCCTCCCCTCTTCTCCCATCACTCCATCACCCAGACAGTTGGGGGTGGGGGGGCTGGCGACCTGCAGGCCCCAAAACGTCTACCGTTTGCTCAACACAGTATCATCGCCCTCCGTCCATCCAGTGCCACCTATTCTCATGCTTTGTGCTTTATCAAAAGGTTCAGTCTACACAGGCTAAAGACAATGCAGACACTGGTTACCCAAAAGATCCTAATGTGGCCAAGACAGCAAGTGTACCTCATTAGCATAAGGCTAACTGGTCCATCCTGGCTTTAAGCAATGTTTGCACAGTTTATTTTGTGCAAAGTAGTACTTTGGGTATTATAGGATTTAGTTTAGAGTATATTAATTGGAAACCTGGGACTTCAGCCCTCTTAAAATCATCAATTCATATATGCATTTCCCCAAAACAAACCAAAGATGACTTAACACTTAAAGAATAAGGTAAGAGGTGAATGCACTTAAGACCTGAAACTAGTAGAGTCAGTTTGTAAGCATACGTTGTGGATGTTAAGGGCGGACTTCATCAAATGTGTCTAAAGGTAGTGTTTTCAGTGTCCTTTTTTTGCCCCAAGCGAAGCGGCACATATTTAGTGAAGAAACAAAGCCTTTCATTAGACAGCAGTCAGTCTCCATGCTGACCACAGACGTCTACAGCAGGCCAGAAGCCCTGAGCTGGGCCTGACGACCGCCTCCACCTCAGGTTTCACATATTCAGTCACGCAAGACAATTACAGTCTGCTTGTAAAATGCGTATTTGTTTACTATCACATTATTTTGCTAACAGTCTGTTGGAAGAGCATGATGGGAGTTAAACACATTCATTCAAATCCACATAACTCATTCAGTTACTCAAATGGTGACCTGGGATTGTGGAATGGTAGGCCTGTTTCACAAGATGGCATCAATAAATTGATCTTTCGATGGAATTTACAATGGACACCAACAACAAGCAATTAAAATAAAGTTTTTTTAATTGTTGGTCTTTTTCATACACTTCAGATTTGTTTATTTTTTGTGAACAATTAAAATTTGAGATGCTCTATGGGTAGTAATAGAAGTAAGTCTTTTCTGCTTGAGGAAAATCAATCCAAAATGGCAAAACTGTAACTGTACTGTAAAAAAAGTTAAACTGGATTTTTCTTTTGCTTTGGTTGTTCATTTTTAGCACCCAATCCTTTTGCTAAGTGTCCCTACAGCTGTAGGGGAGGGGGTTTAAGGCATTAATGGAAACATCAGAGGAAATGTGCTGTGTAAAATATCTCCACCAGTATCTTGGTAAAACCTGTAACACAAATTGGGTGCTAAACTTTGATTCCAGGTCACTCATAACAGTTGTAAAGAAACACAGACACAGAGCATTAAATTTTGATGCCAGACTAAGACCCACTCCCCCAAGTCCCAGGAGCAGAACTTCCTCCTCCCTGTTTTGGCATTTGTTCATGCCTTTAGGCTGACTCAGCAGGATATTCATCTTTTCTTTCTACTGAACCCTGTCAGATGATTTATTCCAGCCCTTGCTTGTGGATCTGAAGGCTGTTATGTGCTTCTAACGCAGGCCTAGGTTTGAATTTTGGCTAGGGAGCTAGAACTTCAGGAAACTTCACTCCAAGACCCTGTATTTTAGTGATTTAGCACTTTTAGTACATTTGGCACTTCTCTGTTAATTTCCTGGAATAGGATGAGATTTTTCTTCATGTCTTTGTAAGTCCGGATATGTGAAAGAGAGATGCTTTCTGATTTCTTCGGAAAATTACATCAGACATTAGTCATCCACTGAGTGAGACATCCAGACAACTCTTTGTGATGTAATCCAACCTGAGGAATGCCTCAGGGAGTTTACTACAGAGAAATATAATCTCTAGAATGGACAGAGTAATTCAGTTCATTTAAACTCAGAAGCCATGGCTTGAGTGTAACCACACTAAAATGAGACCAAGAGGCCAAAACAACATAATTTGTAAGTTCTAAGATATTAGTCATAGGATGTTTTCACATATTGTTCTTTTTGAATGAGAACAACTCATGCCTGTTTAAGTGAACTTGAAAGGGAACTAGTTGTGATCTTTTTGTGTTCAAAAACTAAGTGAACTTTAAAAGACTCCCTGCTCTTTCTGGTCCTCTGTAGCACTGACTAGATCTCAAACCACTTGTTTACACCTCAACTGCTTTAAAACTGAGTAACACTGAAATATGGGCATTGTTCATCTTTTATGTTGTTTGTAACCGTTTTCTAAAAGCAATACTTCACTCGAGACCGTGTGTTACAGTGATTTTACCAAGAGTAGATGTTCAGACACGAGTTCAGCGGGGCCTGATAAATGATCTGTTTTCAGATCTGTTTTCTGTATTCCATATACAACATCGGGCTGGAGTTTGTTTTCTAATTAGTGATTTCTGTGGATACCCCCTCTTGCAAGGGCCTCATATATATATATATATATATATATATATATATATATATATATATATATATATATATATATATATATATAATATGCGCTTCATTAGGGATGTGCAGCACTTACACCTTTTATCAGGACATCTTGTCCTCTAGATTATAAACCTTGAAGCCTCATGTGAAGCTCTATTTCAGCTTTTGGAGGCTGAGACATAAGATTTGTTTCAAGACTGC